TTTACGGACTGTTACTGTTTACAGACTGTTTACAGACTGTTTACGGGCTGTTTACGGACTGTTTACGGACTGTTTATGGGCTGTTTACAGACTGTTTACGGGCTGTTTACGGACTGTTTACGGACTTTTTACAGACTGTTTACAGACTGTTTACAGGTTGTGGAAGGGCTGTTTACAGGCTGTTTACAGGCTGGTTTCGGGCTGTTTACAGGCTGGTTTCGGGCTGTTTACAGGCTGGTTTCGGGCTGTTTACAGGCTGGTTAAGGACTGTTTACAGGTTGGGTACGGACTGTTTACAGGCTGTTTACGGGGTGTTTACAGATTGTTTACAGACTGTTTACAGGGTGTTTACAGGCTGGTTTCGGGCTGTTTACAGGCTGGTTAAGGACTGTTTACAGGTTGTGGAAGGGCTGTTTACAGGCTGTTTACGGACTGTTTTGAGGTTGTTTACAGGCTGGTTTCGGGCTGTTTACAGGCTGGTTTCGGGCTGTTTACAGGCTGTTTACGGACTGTTTACAGACTGTTTACAAACTCTATTAGTTATTTGATATTTTTTCAGCGTTTGAGGAATAAAACAACCTTCATTGTTGTCTAGCCCCCCCTGGGGGTGGGGGGTGGAGACCTTTCTGTGACCCATGGTCATGTAGTACCTGAGGCGGACGGTGAAGTGGTTTCACAGTCTTACCGTTATGCGACATGCCGACGTGAAGGCACTTCTGGAAGCGACAGTATTGGCATTTGTTGCGTGACTTCTTGTGAATCCGACAGTGAAGGTCGCAGTGATCGTACACCAACTTTAACCTGATGGTGCGTCTGAAGAAACCCTAGGAGAACGACCAAACAACATCACATTGTAGCACAGTATGTGGAGATGAGCATAGAAAACACATGCAGTAGAATTATACCAAAAGTACTACCTCAGGGCCACTGACACCGAGTACTTGTCTCAGAGTAACTGGTTTCATACGGAGTACTTGTCTCAGAGTAACTGGTTTCATACGGAGTACTTGTCTCAGAGTAACTGGTTTCATACGGAGTACTTGTCTCAGAGTAACTGGTTTCATACGGAGTACTTGTCTCAGAGTAACTGGTTACTGTTACTACTGTCCTCATGTTTTCCTTTTTTAAATGTAGGTTATTTAAGGCAGGAGGAAGTTAAAGGGGGTCAGGGCCCCCACCTCGCCACAATGTTTTCACTTGAGGAACAATTAAGCGTTTGCCTGCTTGGCTGACCCGCTCTTCTGGTGACCGTCCCCTGAGATGTGAGCAGAACAATGACTGCGGTACTTTACCTTCATTCAGCCTGTGGAAATACAACAGCAGGTCCACGAAGAAAAACAAACACCTTTGTACAGCGTGGTGGACCGGCACCACAGTGGCTCAGTGTCACAGCGTGGTGGACCGGCACCACGGTGGCTCAGTGTCACAGCGTGGTGGACCGGCACCACAGTGGCTCAGTGTAACTGTCACAGCGTGGTGGACGCTCAGTGTCACAGCGTGGTGGACCGGCACCACAGTGGCTCAGTGTCACAGCGTGGTGGACCGGCACCACAGTGGCTCAGTGTAACTGTGTAGTGTGTGTTTCAAGGCTGAAGTCACTGACTGTGTACTACCACTCAGTACTGTGTGTACTACTGAGTGTCTGTAGTAAAGATACTCTGCAGTGAACTTCCTGACTAAAGGTTAAATGTCAACGACACCTGTGACACTGGTGGAGTGGGCGTCAGAATCAGTAGAAGTTTAAATGACAGCTCAAAATAAAAAAGGGTTTGATTCATTAACTGCAGTTCTAACAGTTCAGTCAAATTATTATGATCCAACTATTAAACAATAAAATCAATAGAATGATTTGAAATAAATGTGAATATTCTTAGTTTGACTAGTTTGACTAGTTTGACTAGTTTTGCTTCAGTTTTCAGTTTTCTCCACAGACAGAAATAAACTTCAAACGTCACCAACACCAGACAATATCTGTCTCAGAAAAAGGGGAAATAAGTGTGACACCCCCCCCCACACACACACACACACGAACACATGAGACGTTTGAGGGTACGAGTGGTTCAAATGTAGCGCCCCGGTCTGGCCCGGCCCGTGTGGGGTGGAAAGTGCGTGTGAGTCTTGTGGTTAGAGTGACAGACATCAGGCAGTTTCTCCAGATCATTCCATTCCACCGACTCACTTCACCGCAGTGACACACAAACGACGGCTGGCACAGAAATACTAACTGCAGTTCTCACCGTATTCAGGGGGAGGTCAAAGGTCAAACACACCGTCTGCAGCGTTACTGTTGCTTTTTGGTTTGTCAATTAAAACGTGTTTGTTGAAGTCAGGTGTGGGACTAGCAGCAGAATAATCTCTGATCACTGCCCCCTGCTGGCCTTTACTACAGTCACATATTGATTCGGTTTCATCTTCATCGTCTGTCTGTCCTACCTTGCAGCCCTCACAGGCATGGACGCCATAGTGAAACCCTGAGGCCTTGTCGCCGCACACGCGACACTCTATGTTGATGGACGTGGCTGACACGTCGTCCTGGACCTTGGAGAAGACGGGAGCGTCACAGTACTGGTGCAGGGACTCGGGCTCCACCTTGATGGAATCTGATACAAACAATAGTTAACATGAAATGTTAAATGTTTAGAGACCCACACCCATACCCCCCCC